AATGCACAACAAACGTCTAAAAAAAAAAAAACATATTTTTCCTAAACATTTAACAAAATTTGGGCGAGAATCTCCTTTGTAAATTGCACCTTTTTCAATTAACAAGCACTTTAAATGATCATACCAACATTTAAATTAAATCAACTAATAATCAATTTACACACACCGAGACCAACACTTATCTTAGATACTCCATTAAAATTAAATCTTAAACTCATCATTCCATCTCTATTACAAAGCATTGAACCAATTTTGTAAAATCCTTTACCAAAAACCCACTAAATAATTATGTATGTATATATGAAAGGAGAAACATATTTATTAACGCATGAGCAATTATTTATGGAGTGATTAGTTAGAATTTGATGTATGAATTAAATATTTAGTGTGCATAAAATATTTTTTATATGCACTTGAATATTAGAAGATGTGGAGAAAACAATTTAGATACAATGAGGTAAGTATGGATAATTAATTTTGAAAGAATAGAATTTTGGGTGCTTAATTTGATTAATTATGAAGGTTAGAAGTTGGCCAATTAATTTAAATAATTGAGAGGGTCAAGAGGCCAATATTAATTTGGAAATTATCGTAAGGGAGGATTGAATTGATAGAATGAAAAATAGGCTAGCCAAACTATAGGGGTGTAATTGAAATAAATTGGAAAAGCGAGGGACCAAAGTGTAACTTTTGGCAAAATTGGGAACCAATTATTTCGGCTCTAACAAGCTAAAATGAATCAAAAATTTCAGCAACTAAACTAGAAATGGAAGTGAGTTTGGTTCGTCCAAGGAGAGGAAAATAAGAAGGAAAAGCAAAGACTAAGAAAATTACATGAAAATTTTATGAAAATTATGTAGGAAATTGTGCCGAAATTGTGTGAAAATTGTGTATGACCAAGCTAAGTAAAATTTCATGTTTAAGCTAAGTGTAAGATGACACCAAGTGTCATCCATCTAGTGCCAATTTTAGCCTATAAATTCGGCCAAACTTGAGAGGAGAAGAACTTGATGGACAAATTGAAACTAAAGAGAAACTAAGAGAAAATTAGTAGGAATTAGTCTTAACCTACCCCAAACTCTACCCAAATTATCATCTACACGCACTAAAGACACCATAAAAGACCTTAAGAAAGCAAACGTAAGAAGAGGAGAAGAGGGAGGACTTGGCTGAAACTTACAAAGAAAGAGGAAGAAGATGAAATTCCAAAATCAAGCCAAACCATCCATCAAATAACATCTAGGTAAGTGTAGTCTCACCTACATTACAAGAGATTAGTTGTTTTATTGATTTGTATGATATTGTGATGAATTTTATGAAACTAGGATTTATATTACATGATAGTTTATGTTGTGTTCATTAGATCAAGTGGAATTGATGTGAAAATCATGAAATTTATGGTTGATTAAGCATGTGTAAAGTATGGACTTGATTAATAGGATTGATAATAATTGGTTTCTTAGTGTTCATAGATTCGACCAATTAGGAAGTTTAAGAGACATAATTGGTTTGATGATCTATGTATTCAATGATGTTTAGATGATGATTGTATGAGGTACAAAATTGATTAATTGGATTGATAATGGTGGTTATTTGGTGATGAAAGTTTCGCCATCCAAGTGATATATGAGGATTGATTATTTTGATGATATATATGTTTTATTATGTTTAGATGATGATTGTATGGAGTATGAAATTAGTTAATTGGATTGATATTGAATGATCATTTGATGATGGAAGTTTTGATCATCTAAGTGATTCAAGAGAATTGGTTGTTTTGATAATATGTATGTTTAATTATGTTTTTATGATGATTGTATGATGTATGGAATCGACTAATTGAATTGAAATTGAATGGTTCTTGTTCATGAAAGTTTCTACCAACAAAGGAATTTAAGAGGATAAATTGTTTTGATGTTATATAGGTTTATGATGTTCGGATGGTGATTATGTGATATGTGAATTGGTTGAGTGATTGAAAATGGATGGACTATGCATGGTAATAGTTTCGATCAAAAAGGAACAATTAAAGAGTATGATTATTTGATGAAACATGTGTTTAATCTTATTTAGATGATAATGAATGAGGGATTATTTAGTTGAATTGATGATTGAAATATTGTATTTGAAGTATGAAATTGGTTGATTAGATGGATATTAAATGGATCCTTAGTGTTGAAAGATTTGACCATATGTTAAATTTTAGGGTATTTGAATATGATGCCGGGCATGATAAAATAGATTACTAGTTGAAATTAGATGTAATTAAAAAGGAAAATTTTTATGAAATTGGTGAGGGAAAGATCCGACCAACTTGAAGAATTATGTGATTGATTATAAATGTTTTAAATGATGATGAATCTGTGTCTATTAGAATTTTTATGATTAATTTATATGAAATTGATTAATAATTGAATGAGTACATGGAATGAATTGTATGGGCCATATTCGAGCATGATGATGATTTCGAATGATTAATGCATGTTGTGATTTTACAATGAACTCATACAATTTGAGATATGTTTTAGTGCATGTTAATGTTTGATTAGTTCATTAACATGTGCACCATGATGATCAAGAATGCATGAAAAGGAAAAGTATAAGGTAAGACATATTATGTTACATGCATTTTCATGAAAGGTTTTTCCTCATGATTTTGCAAAGGAAAAGAAAAAGAAATGTATGGTTTTAAAAGAAATGACCAAGTACATCTAAATGAATACTCGAGGATTGTCACCCTCTAGTATAGACATCAACATGAACATGAACATGGACATGGAAATGAAAATGGAAAAGGAAATGATAAATTGAATGGAGAGGTATTTGGTGCTTTTGTGATGTTTTCACAATTGTATGGTTTTAAAAAGGAGGGTCGATTAAATGATATATATACCATCGCAAGGTGCACGCCTAAAGATAAAAAATGTATTTCAAAGCATAAAAAGACTTTCTAAATTGCACCACATGCATATCATGCATCACTACACTTATTGGGTGGTAGCTCATTTTTCCCTCATGGCATAGGTACAAAAAATAGGAATGATGGCACGGTTTGATATGATAGTTAGAGCTAAGGAGGAGTTAACTTATCGACAGGTGTACTTTAACATCTGCTATGAGTTTAAGAGTCATCACTTTTCTTTTATATCATGCTTTAAACCCTAATATGTGTGTCAAGATTTATCCTAATAAAATTAATTATGCACTAGGATACTAAGTAGTTAGTATGGGTGTGTATAGTTAGTAGTGCTAAGTAGCTAATGTGAATGAGTTACTTATTATGTGGCATGGAAATGAGAAGTTAAACAGACAAAAGGATGGACTAATTAACTAAACAAGAAAGAATTAGATTAAATGAAATGAATGACTAAATTAATTAAGTTAACTGAATTAATTAGTTGATTTTCAAAGTATTTGGAACCAATGTTCCATAAACCCTAAAATTGTTTTATTCCACAAATAAATGGCTTAATTCGAATAAAGGAATTATATGGGAAGCCAAATCAAATGTTTTAGACAATTCTCATTTCGGATAGCTTTAACTTTTTTTTTACTTGCGCTACGCTACGGATCGATAAAATATATGAAATCATTTAAAATATTCATTTCAGTTTGATAGTCCGTGTTTTAGTATGAATCTACAAAAATATATGAAATCAAAGATAAAAAATTATTTATAATTTTTTAATAAAAATTTTGTATTTAACTATTTTTTATTTGTGTTTGTCATTTTTTTTTAGAAAAAGAATTTATCCTTGTTAATCCATGGATTCTTAACTAAAAAAAAATTAAATAAAAAGTTTTAAAAAAGGCTTTAGTATTTCATAAGATTGTGTCAAAAAAGTAAGGTAATAATTAATAAAAAATACATAGAATAGAATAATAAAAAATTATTTATTTAATATTGATTAGAATATCAATTTTTGAAGGAATTTGGATTTAATTTTTATATATTTATTCATAAAAGAATAAATAATATTAAAATAAAAATATATATTAATTTGAACCATTGAGTGGTTAAGTCAAAACATAATTTTAATTATTTAATTTAAAATAAATTAATTTTAAAATATTCAAAAATAAATAAATAAATAAATAGTAAATGCTTAGTATAGTAGTAGCTGCATAGTTAATTTCTAAAAAAACAATGATTCAATATTTTTTATGCATCATTACTATACTAAGTGGGTTCGTAGTTTTCAGTATAAAATAAAAAAGACAAAGACCATTCCATTTTTCGACTTATTGGTATAGCATAGTGGGTTCAATATTTGACTTTTAGTTATTAATTAACTAATTTGAGTTTTTTATTAAAAAATTGAGAGAAAATTATTCAAAATACACTTTTAATATAAAAATATATTCTAAATAAATTATATATATTAATCATGTCACTATAATTTAAAAATTATACAAATCTAATTTTTAAAAGAAAAAATAATCATATTCTAAAAATTTATTCCTTGGTGGCGCTAGAATTTCAACTCCATATACTTTGTTGAGCTCTACAATCTTGCTAGTGGTCGCCGTTTATTTTAATCGCTACGGGGAGAGTGTCTCTAGTGGAAGGAGGCGGTAGCAGAAAGACCCCTTTAATTCCAATGCTAAAAAGACTAAAAAACAAGTTTATATTATATAGTAAGTCCGCATAGACAATATTATTATCTACCTTCCGCCAAGATCCCATAAGAATATATATGCTTGTAACGAAAATGTCTAATTACATCTAGGTATCAATAAAAAAGGAAAAATATATATGATTATTATAAGTATTAATTGCTATGTCTCTCTGTTCCATTTCATATACCATATGCCACTATATGTCCACTCTTTTTTGTTGCTCGTACACAAATTCAATTAACAAATAGTGTTTCTAATTAGCTCGAGTGGATGATAAAAGCCAAGAAGAACCCTATTAAATGATGGTAAGGGAGAACAAATGCAAATGAATGAGTGTAACTAAACCACTTAAAGTTTGGCTTTGGATTTGATTTTTTTACCCGATCCTAGTTAGGCACAAATTCGAGCTATGCGGATCCTCGAGTGCATAGCTTTCCATGAAATTGTCTCGCTTTAAGAATATTAATTTGCTTCAAATAGTGATTGTTTGAAAGATTAGTTATTCCGATTAAAGTAGTTACATAATTTTTTCTTCGTTAGAAAGAAAGAAAAACTTTTATACACAACTCTTGATCCATTAGCATACTATAGTAGACATTTACCTTAATTTATGGCTAAATTGAGAGTTCAAGAGCATTTTATTATAATTCAAGTCCTTTTCATCTTATTGTACAATCACATAAATTTTACTCGACTATAATGTCTCAATCGATCAATCTTCAATAATTTTCTACAAAACATGAATTTGTTTGAAAATTTTTATTCGCTTATGAAAGTTTGAATTGAGAATATTCTAGGGATTTATAGATGCACAAAATCTGAACTATTTAGCCAATATGTTTGAATATAACCATGTTATTCAAATACAAGGGAAGACTACTCTTTTAATGTAATCCCCACGAAATATATTTAATTATAAATATATCTATATGCCGAATATTCATGCAAATATACATTAAGTACGAGTGCAATTGTATGTGTCATTTTAACTGTTTGGTGATGATAATATATTTAGCACTTATGCGAGAATTTTAGGGGGAAGTTTCGGATAAATTAATTAATTACTATTTATTTTATATTAAGTACTTGGCACATATTATACAAGTGAAAAAGGGGTGTTTATAAAATTTTAGGAATATTGGAATATTTTTCTTGGAAATTACCGAATAGAGAGGAAAGGAATTTTCATGTTTTAGAGGGGAAATTTCCAAAAATTGATGGAGAAAATATATTTTGTTACATGAACTAATTTAGTTTAAGGGTTTAGTTAGCCCGATTATTTAGTTAGGACACCTAAGCATATGCATTAATGGAATTAAAAGACAACTCATCACTTTGACTTTCTAAGCCCTCCTAATCCGCCACCTTACCTTCCAAGCTTCTTTCACTTTAGACTTTGGTTAGTTAAATTTTGACACATGTTACATCAATTAAGAAGAGAAAAAAAATGAGGTATAAAAGTGTGGAAAAGGTTGAACTTAGTCATTTTTTTAGGCCAAAATCGTGGCACCCAAAGGAAGAGAGAAAAACCAATTGTGAGAAAAGGGAGAGAAAGTCACGACAAGGAAAGAAAGAAAAAGAAAAAAAAAGGAAAGGAAGGAAAGAAAAAGGGGAAAAGCTAGGGAAAAATCCTAATCAAATCTATTTAAGTAAGTGGGTTTCTTTAGTTTTTTATGCCATTCAATTGATGTTATTGTAATTGGTTAAGCTTGTGTTTATGTGATGATGTGTTTTGTTGGCTTGATTGTGTTGGTTAGGTTGTTCCATGATTGATAATTGCTATAGTTTCATTGTGATGGTTCTTTGTTAAAGCTTTGGAAGTTTTGTATCTAGCTAGATCCATGTATGGATGGGTGTGGCTAATGGAACTTGGTTGACCGAAACTTGGTGGGTGAATTTGGGATTTGCATGGACTTGAATAAAATGGAGTATGAAGGGAAAACAAAGAAGGAAATTTTAAGGTTTTCCTAGAGTCATATTCGCTAAAAAAATGGTGAAAATGGACTTCCTTTGGTACTTAAGACTTTTGACCTTAATTGTAAACCAATTAGGTTTAGTTAGTTTTTCAAAAAGAAAGGAAAAGAAAAGTCATATAAAAACAAAGACAAATTCCTTGCCAATTTAGGGACCATTAGTCCAAGCTTGGAAAAAATGGGGGGTTTGGGTTTCACTAAATCAATTGGGTAATTACAAATTCAATTAGCCCCAAATAAGGATAAAAATAACGTTATAAAGGTAAGATCGTGAAGAGAAACTAAAAATTTGACTTGACATTATTAGAAGCCTAACTCGCCCAAAAAGTGTTAAATTCAAGGAAAAAAGGTACGTTACTCCATAACATGTTTTAATTAATTCAAAAGTCAAAGACCACATACCTCGACCGTAAAATGAATTACTATCTACACGTACCAAATTAAGCGGAAGAAAAATATCTTCGTGTGAATTAAATTCATAGCTCAGCAAATATCAACCGTCGATGTTTAAACCTAATTAGGTGAATGTTACGATGAAGTGAACGTATGACCCCGAGTGGGTTAGATATCGAGGATGGAATAATGGTGTAGGGTTTGATACCCTAGTATCCTTAATACGATAATCATAGCATCACGTGCATCATGTACATGTGTCGGGGACGAATTGAGAAAGAATCAATTGGTTGAAAGTGGGTTGTGTGAATAGGTCTAGTAACCTAACAAGAATAAATGGGTATTAGCAATCTAGCCGTGTGCGTACTCTAAGTCAGTATGTCCGCACTGTTAGACGATGGACTATCGCTAACAAGTGGCTACAACGAGGGATAATTCCATTGTTAGTAGAAGGTGATTCGTTAATCACCTGGATTAAAAATAGAGTAGACTTGCTAATATCTAGTGGTACCCGAAATTAAAATTGATGAGTATGGTGGGAAGTTAGAAAAGCATTGTATATCACGTTCATCACCCTACTTATTGAGCTTCGACTCACCTCGTTATTATTTGCATGTTATGACAGGTAGCGATGACTATAGTATCGATAAAGACACCGCCGGATCCTTCAAAAGGGCTCATATGTGATGCAAACCTAAGGGGATGTTATTTTGATTGTAATTCTAGTGTTGGGGTGTCCATAAATATTTAAACGACACCGTAAATAAATTATAATTTCTTCCTCTATGAATATTCTTGTCATATAATTTGTATTGTACCTATTTCAATATGTAATATGTTCTCACGGTACCAATATGTACATAGTAGGATTTAATTCAGGTTGGACGTGTCGGTGTGACGCACTCCTCACCCGGCCACTCCTTTTTATGTAGTTAGCAAGTGGGCCGGGAAGGGGCGTCACATTTAAGCCGATATTTTAAAGAATTTCCTTGAAGATGGACATGTATAGAGACTCAATTCTATAATTGAATATCTCCCCGAAATCATGAAATAATACATTGATCTTAAATAAGACCTTGGAAAGAAAAAGTAACAAAAATTTGGCTAGTACCCATGATATCTCGAGTCAAAGAAAAAAACATAGTCACATGACCTCTCGTATTCTTGGTTTCATTATTTTGACTTTTTCATTGTAGAAGGTATCCATATCACTTTTCTTCACATTTTCAACTAGTTTCTCACCCATGTCTAAGTCTCTAGTTTCAATAAAAAATTAAAAAGCCCGAAATGATAGGTGGAATCGTATTATGAAAAATAGAATTAGGAATACAAGTGAAGTATGAATTAACATACATTCAAAGACCTTTCGCCATATGCCATTGCTAAATGTTTTGCTACCTTAGCAAGTAACATCCTAAAAAAATTTAAAGGTAAAATAGTTCAATTAGTAACTAATATAAAAATAGAGAAGACAAGGCTAGAAGCAATCCAAAGATGCCCATCCCTTAACACCTTTTGGAGTTAGGGCATAACCTATGCATTATCCATGCAGTTTTCATTAGGAAGGGGCTTGGCAAAATGTTCACAACCAAGAATTATTAGAATTGGAAAAGAGGTAAAATTACAGTAGATGGTTATCAACCCGATAAACTTTAGTGTCAAGTTTATCTTTAAAGCCTTAAGCAAACAAATATAGATACCATAGACCATAGTTTCTTGCATGTGGATTCAAAAATTTCTAAGCCACTTCAAATTGTTAAAAGGAACTCACCGATTAAAAAGTCAAAACAAAACTCGTTTGCTTTCAAAAAGTTGAAGCTTTCCTTCCAATTAAGATTGTTGAGATATCGAAATCAACAAAGAAATCCTTCAATCAAAAATAAAATTTAAGTTATAAGAAGCATCGCATTATTGCCGTATTTAATTTACAACCAAAACATTTTTATGAGATCTAGTATGAAATGAAACTCGTATAATTATAAAGGGAGTTTTACCCGAGACCAATATGTGAGGTAGATGTCGCGAACCTCATTTGTGACATGTGGTTTGGATAAGGCATTAACCTATTGTCGAAAAAATTGATCTTTTCTCGGAGAAAAAGAAATGGAGTAAAATATTAAGAAAGAACATGAAAGACAAGTGTGATAGTTTTTTCAATTATTAACCCAAGGTTTAGCTGCTCAGTGCCCAAGATCTCGTATCTCTCTCTAGGTTGCTTAAAGTAATTCTCCTCCTCAATGATGCACTACATCAACCAGTAAAGGTTGATAAATTATCTGCTATGAAACATATATCAATTCATGATAATAAATAATTTATTTAACTAATAGCTCTAGAATCATACAATAGCTTTCCAATATATAGAAAATATAACTAGAACTCCAAACACTCACATATATAAACACCAAACTCAAGCATAAAACAGTTTCATTTTTATAACAACATACCCGAAAATAACAAAGAAAGAAATTAACTTTCTTATGCCTTCCACTCGTAGATAATCGGATGATATCTTGATGGGAAATAGTTGACCTAAAAAACATACGATGATAGCCGATCAAAACACAAACTAAACAAAAAAAAAAGACAAAGCAGGGGTAATTATCTAATTTGGAAAAGATTTGATTTCATCTCATCTATTTACATGCAAGTAGAACCATAACTAGATCTACAAAAATAAAGACTTCTCTTCTCCATTTCGATTGCGGTTCATCTCACAAAAACCTCTATCGGTAAAAAAAAATCTAGCCAAACCCATCTTCCCACACCAAACTCCGCCATCCAAACTTATTAGCGAAAACACCTATTATCCTCTTCCACACCAAAACCCAACCATAAAAGCCTATCATTAAAAGCCTTGTTACCCACCTCAATACCAAACCCCAACCACCAAAACCCACCGCTCACACCCACTATCATCAACCATACAATGATCGGCATGAGTAATGTTTATTGGGCTAGAGATATGAGAAAGAGAGAAAGATATATATTTTTTTTTGTTGAGTTGCAGATATATGAGGAAGAGAGAAAGGTTTTGTTTTTTTTTAAAAAAAAATTATAGATGCGTGAGAGAGAGAGAGAGAGGGATTATTTATTTTAATGAATTAAAGGTTGTTAAAGATAAGATCGGATGATGTGGTAATAATTTACTAGTTGTTCGGATTATATTATCTCTTTTTAACCAATCAAATTTGCAAAATAAAAGAATAAAAAAGAGAAAAGAGATAAAATCTAACATACTGTGAAAGGAGAAGATGGAGGATCAATGGACAGGAGAAAAAACAAGAATAATGAATCTTGCTCCATAGTAGTATTGACTCTACATAAACAATATTTACATACTAAACACTTCAAACCTTTTAGATTTTTTTAGTAATGATGATTTTCCATTAAATTAATTATTTCTAAGAAAGTTAGAGTTTTCCACAAAAATCAAAATTTAGAAGAAAAAGAAAGGAAATGTATTTTTGTGGAGAAATTAGCAAGGAATTATGTTTCAAAATTAGAACTTTCATTTAAAAGAAATCAACCAAGTTTTAAAGATTTATGTCATGAATATTTTTAAATGAATTTTTATAATCAAATCGGTTAAAAGAAAATTTTTCAAGAATTTTATTCATTGATTTAATTTGACTAGTTTTATCCTAAATAGAATTATTTTATTTAATACCTTGATTTTTATAAGAATTTTGAGGAAAATAATAGACATGAATCAAAATGAGTTTAATTTAAAGTATTTTATAAAAATAATTAAACTGAATTTTAAAGATATGAGTTTTTGGCCTAAAATCAATGTTTACTATTCCTATGCATTAGAAAAATGACTACTATTATAGGATGACTAATATAATGAAACTTAATTATCCTATATTACCAATGAAGAGAACCATATTGTTCAAATGTGATTGGGATCATACTTCACCCGACATTGTTACAAGGGTTCATGATTAGTACGTACTAGTAGAGGTACATAGTCATAGGAGGTCGAATAGATCCGATTCTTTTATTCTAATAATACAAACGTATCAAGTGTATTATGCAACATATCCAACATCGAAGTACATCAAGCGCGATTATGCAACATATACATATACGTATACATATATATATATACATATATAGTTTATATGTATATATGTATGTATATGTATGTGTGTGTGTGTACATGTTTTAATTTAATTATGAAATTATTTGTTGGTTGTAAAATAAATATATTTTTAACTTTTTTATTATAATATATATGTTTTATAGTTGTTGTATTTTATTAACTAATTAATATGATAATATATAGGTTATGCCTCATGGTAGGGGACGTTCCCGCATGCTATGGCTCTTACCATATGGTGAAGGTCATGGTTTAGACACTAACGATAGTAGTGATCACGGACGTAGTGTAGTCCTACTTTTATTCTAGGTCGGATGGCCACCCCATCGATATGTCTCCATACCACCCTCCCGCTGACCCCTATGTCAAACCCTTCATTGTTTGACTTGTCTCAATCCGAGCCCCATCAATATAAACCTACACATCCAGGTACTTCGAACCTTCATTGTCATTAGAGTTCTCACCACAACAGGACGACCGTGAGATTCCTACATATGGCTCATTTTCATAAGTTCTTATCAATTTATCTTCTACACTCGCTAGTTCTACTTAAGATTCTTGCATTCCTATTACTCTCGTTGATGGCAAGGAGCGCATATTATACATATTTTTAAAAAATGTTTTATTTAGTGTGTATTATATTTATGCATTTATTTAATCATTAATTTCCTTGTTTGACGAGCTTGTATCCATTAAATATGTACTCTCGTTGGATCTATAAGATATTCCAAGACATGTTGACATATCCGACATGACGTGGAAGTCAATTACTAAGCATACTAAAGAATTCTATTAGGAGGAGTTTAAGGTATTTTGTAGTTTAATTTATTATGTGGCAAGTATATTTAAATTAAAAAAACATTAATGTTCATTTAAATGCATTAATGCATCTTTTAATGTTCTTACAAAAGTTCTTTATGTGGGATCGAGAGTTCAATCGAAGCATTAGGAAAGCATAGCAAAGTCTCACATGAAAACTTCCTCTATCAATTGAAGAGATGCCTCAAACTAACATATATCTCTTAAGAGATATGGGATGAATGACGAAGGAATGGACAAAACCCGAGTCTCATGCTCAATTTAAGCAATAGACCCGGATCCACATAAGTGAGATAGATGGCATCGTGGCTAGCCCATCTAGATATACGGGAGGGTTTGATCATCCATAAGGAGCACACAATAAGCACGATAAATCCTATTATACATATATAAACGTATGGAAACTTATTTGCAATTATTGTAACATTAATATACATTTAAGTATATTTCTTTCAAGCATAAGGAGTTGGCTCATGAACCCGATGCTCCCGAGGTGTTCTTAAAGACTCATGGAAAGAAATTGATGATAAGTACGTATTCATTGATCGGTGGACCAAAAATCTTTGGCTAAGTAATTTATAATCTTATTTTATACATATGCCAATTTTATATAATTTCTTGAGATTACTATTTAATATTAAATTTTATGTAATTATATAAGAAAACATCGATAAAATATTTGAGGAGAAGGTTACTAGCCGTGGGATGGAAGTACTTCATCACCCAACATCAGCACAAATGAAATATTTAAGACGTACTGTTGGAGGAGGAGACGGTAAGAGAAAGTGGAATGTATAGACTCGAGTCACGAGCTTCTTATTATTACTCTAATGTTAGTTCATCCTCTATTTTGACCATATCACGGGTCCATATCGATGAGTAGCTTCAAAAGAAAATGGAGGTAAAAAATGCTAGACATAAAGAAGAGATTAAGCATCTTAAGGGTAATATTACATCCCTCTTAAAACGTCGAAACGAGTTAGGGTAGTATAATTGGGAGCAATATGCCATAATATAGTAGATGTTACTAAATATGTAAAAAGATAATTCATCGATCAATTCTCTAATCGACCATCATAAATCGGATGAAAATACCGATTTTTCATGACATGTATTCCCTTCATCATAATATATCTTGTATCACTCTTATGTTTTTATTTATCGGAATATTAGTACACTTTATTATCATTTGGTGTTTGAATATATATTTCATTAGATTGGATTTTATATTTCTTATCGGTAACATGAGAACAACAAAATAATTAACTAAAAATATCATAAAAAATTAAAATAAATAAAATAACATGATTTAGTGATGGATT